CTGAACTATCATTCTTTGGGTTTGGGGTGTAGGGCTTGGGTCTTATACAGGCGCGAATCATTGCAAATATTCTGCCCTGAGAATCCCTCATTGATTCTGAAAAGTACCCAAATGTCCCACTCTAAGTCCACAGGCCCCCTGATTGGGCTACCCGATTCATAAGTCTTCGTAGTATAAGAGGGACCCCCAAAAAGGCGCTTGTTTGAGGCTGATGTCTTTCTTAACATAGGCACACACGATGAACTCAGAACTCTCATATGGCAGCTTCGGGCTTAGGATGAAGGACTTTCGGCGCGGGAGGTTTTGGGCCTCTCGTTCGAGCCATTGCTTTCCAGGCGGGCCCCCCCCCCTTACTCCTCTAACTATATGCGCAGGAGTCATGGTTTGCACACGGAACGTGTGGGGTTGCCTTTTCCTGCATGTTGGCTTTACATGCTGACTTGGCCTCCACAGCCCACACCCCCTCCCAGGGAGTATTTCATGGTTCCCTGTCTAGAAGAGGCCAGCCCATTTATAGAACAGGCCCTTCCAAGCAAGACCCCCTTTAAAGCCCAGCGAGATTATACTCATTAGGGCCATACAAAACCCTAAACCCTAAACCCTAAACCCTAAACCCTTTTGAGGCGAAGGAGGGGTCTGGTTTGGTTGGCCCCACTCCCCGTGTGCAATAGTACAGTACAAGCCTTTCGCCAAGTGGTTGAGTGAACAGGGCCCCAAAAAAACACATAAGCAAAAATTAGGATAGAGATATCCTATGTAAACCCCCTTATAATGAAGCCCAATAGGGTAGGGATATCCCTCTAAAATGCTTATGCTTATGTGCTTCTTGGGTCCCCGGGTGAAGAGGCCAACGTTCTAAAGCGGCCCAAGTCTGAAAAAGACGGTCTGAAGAACGGAACACGCGGACATGGAAACCGAGACCGAAATTCATAACCAAAAGTATAGCGCCTGCGCAGTCCAAACGAAGTTAAACCCTAAACCCTAATCCCTAGCCCCTGGGGCTTTCTTTAGCCCCAGCTCTGCGGGCAATGCAAACCTCTAGCCCTCCCCGCAACTATCGTTAAGGGACTTATGACCTAAGCGGTCATGCTTGTCTTGGTAACACAGCAAAAAAAACACAGTCAGGGAGCCCGTTCTGGGATTGGTTCCATTTATATGGGGAATTCAGAACCCAACAGGGGCAAAAGGGTACATTGGGCTATCAAGCCAATGTACTTTCTGGCTCTCAGTATGGAACCAGGGAAGTAGGTTGATTAGTTCCGCATTCGGGGATTCCATAAGGTAAGTGATTCCCTCATTCCCGACTAAGAACCAGCTGAGGCTTTGAGGGCTTCAGGGGATTACAGCAAAGCATGGGTTGGCACTTGAAGGGCTTGGGGTTCAGGGATTAGGGATTAGGGTTCAGGGTTCAGGGTTTAGGGTTTAGGGTTTGTGGTGGCCCAGGACTTGGCTTTTGGGTCTGGGCTGAGGATCTACGGCTGGGACCTTGAACTGAACATTCCACTCTTGTTCCTATGCTACTAATTGCTTAAGAAACCCGAAAAAGGAAGAATAAATATTCTTCCTTATTAAAGGTACTATAGGGAGCGTTATTTTGTTTATTCTTTAGGGGTTCTTAAGCAAATAGTCGTATGCCAAGCTTCTTTCCGAAGAGAAACCGACTCCACCACAGCTGCTTCATGTTCTGCTTGGGCTTGATCTTTGGCTGGCGCAGCCTGTCGAAGTTCCAGGCTTGGGTTTAGATGGAGGTTCATGGTACTTTTTAACCAATTGTAGCTGTACTTAGAACACACTTATAAGCCCCCTAAGTGCCCAATATGGTTATAAGTACAGTTATAAGTACAGTTATAAGCACAGTTATAAGTACTTAACAAGTACCATGAACCTCCAAGTAGAAGTGGTAATGAACGCTCCCCCCCACACCCCCACAGCCACAACTAGCCCTTATTCAAACCGGTTTAGGGTTTAGGGTTTAGGGTTTAGGGTTTAGGGTTTAGGGTTTAGGGTTTAGGGTTTAGGGTTTAGGGTTTAGGGTTCGTGTGCTTTCGTGCTGCCCCCTCAGAAGCAGGAGTGGGCCCTAAGCAGGCTTTGCTTTTCCCATTGAAGAGTCTAGGGTTTGGTGTTTACAGGGGTTTATAGGGTGTAGGGCTCCTTTCCTATGGGTACAATGAGGGTGGGGTTGGGGTCAAGTACAAATTTAACCAGGAAGTGAACCCGGATGTCTAACTCCCACGTTTCAAGAAACTACCGCCAAGCCAAAATCAGGCCGAAGAGCCCTGTAGCACAGCTCTCCATGAAGACTGGAAGATTTCAGGGACTCGGACTTGTGGGGTTGTAGGCTTATAGGCCTGAACCCCAAACCCCAAACCCCAAACCCCAAACCCTATACCCTAAACCCTAAACCCTAAACCCTAAATCTCCCCTTAACTCTCGTAAATCGTCCGCCCGGTAGCTGGAGCGGCTCCTTTCCCTTGCCTTTGCCCTTTCCGGCTGGGCCCGGGCCCTTGCCGGGCGGGCCCTTGCCTGGCTTTAGGGTTTAGGGTTTGGGGTTTAGGGTTTAGGGTTTAGGGTTTAGGGTTTAGGGTTTAGGGTTTAGGGTTTAGGGTTTAGGGTTTAGGGTTTAGAGCTTAGGGTTTAGGGTTTAGGGTTTAGGGTTTAGGGTTCAGAAGGTTTATATAGGGTTTAGAATTCAAGGTTTCGGGGTTTTAGAGGGCTCGGGCGAAGCCGGGGTCGAATTTTCGGCCAAGCTGCCCGGACCCTTGCCTGGCCCAGCTGGACCTTTCGGGCCCTTGCCCTTGCCGGATGAAGGGGCTGAAGTCTCCTCCTTGATAGTATCAACTGTTCATGTTATTTGATAGTATCAACAAAACGAAGTTCTATTCCTTATTGCGTTTAAGTACCCTTGAAGATGTAAAATGTTACCCCACTATGACAAAAGTTTAAAGTTCTCATAGCCTTATTGAGTTTTTAAGTACCCTAAACCCTAGACCCTCAACCCTAAACCCGAAACCCTAAACCCTTAAAAATGTAAAATGTTACCCCACTATGACCTAAACCCTAAACCCTAAACCCTAAACCCTAAACCCTAAACCAGAGTCTCCTCCTGGGGTGCCGCCGGTCCTTCAGCCTGGGTGGGAAGCGGCGGGCCCTTGCCGCCCTTCTTGGGCGGGCCCTTGGTCTTGGGGGCCTGCTCTGCCTTACTTCTCCAAGGACCAAGGGGGAAAAAAGGTGGTAAACTTTAATCTTCCTACTGAATAAGGAAACCCAAAAAATTTTAAAGTTCAACTAATGGCGAAGCAAGGGGCCTGCTCTGCAGTCTCCTCTGGTGCGGCTTTGGGGCCTGGCGGAGGCGGGCCCTTGCCTCCCTTCTTGGGCGGGCCCTTGGTTTTGGCCGCTGCCTCCGTATCTGCAGAAGCAAGCTCCCCGGTGGCCTGGGCCCCAGGTGCCTCCTCTTGCGGCAGGTCCGGGCCCTTTCCCGGCGGCCCGGGTGGTGGGGGTCCCTTGCCCTTCTTGGCAAAAGGACCTTTGGGCTTCGCGCCTGCCTTTGCCTCCGCTGCAGGGGTAGCCGCCTTGGTTGCGGCCAAGCGTGAAGAAAACACACAGATGCAACTACGGAAGACCGTCTGATGGCTTACATCCACAGACTGGCAAGCTGAAAGGATCTGAAAGGCATGATTCTGAAGAACGCCCAAGTCACTGCAGCAGAAGGCGCAGTAATTCCTGCCGCCGGCGCAGCTTCAGCAGCTGCTGGCGCAGCACAGGAGTCGTCAGCTGTTTCAGGCAGCGGCGGGCCTTTGCCAACTTTGCCGCCTTTTTTCGGAGGGCCCTTGGCCCCTTTCTGCGGAGGGCTCGCTGCTGTCCCCTCCCCTGGCTGCTCCTGCTCCGCGATGTCGCGTTGCAGCTCACCTGAGCCTGGATCACCTGAGATGAGCAGAGGATGTTGTCTTGCACATGTCCCTTTAATTAAGCTCCGGGAGTCAACAAACAGCCTGAGCACCCGAAGCCCTGCACAAAATCAAGCCCTCGCACATGGCATAGGCGCAGATAGCAGCTACTGCCTGCACTGGAGAGTTCAGTATGAGCACAGTCCACAACAGATTTCCAAGAACTGCAGAACCTCAAACCGAAACTACAAATAAGTGAATAGGCAAGGCATACCAAACACTTGCTGTATCGAGCGCTATAGAAATACACCGGCAAGGCACCGTCCGGACTTGGCGCCATAGCTTCAGCGGACGCCGGCCCAGCGCAGGACTCACCAGCTGTTCCAGGCAGCGGCGGGCCTTTACCAGCTTTGCCGCCTTTCTTCGGAGGGCCCTTGCCCCCCTTCTGCGGAGGGCCCGCTGCTGTCCCCTCCTCGGGCTGTTCGTGCTCCGCGATGTCGCGTTGCAGCTCACCTGAGCCTAGGTCACCTGAGATGAGCAGAGGATGTCTTCTTGCAAATGTCCCTTTAAGCTCCGGAAATCAACAAACAGCCTGAGCACCAGAGACATATGTTCAGATAGCACATGCTATTGCCTGGCTTTGCGGGAGAGTTCAGTATGAGATATACAGACTTCCACGTCCACAACAGTTTGCCAGAACTGAAGTCGTCCTCAACAGTTTGCCAGAACTGAAGTATCATGACCTTCCTCAAGCCTCGACTACAAGTAAGTAAATAGGCAAGGCATACCAAACACTTGCTCTATCGAGCGCTAGAAAAACTGCGGCAAGGCACCGTCCGGACTTGGCGCCGCAGCTTCAGCGGACGCCGGCCCAGCGCAGGAGTCGCCAGCTGTGCCAGGCAGCGGCGGGCCTTTACCAGCTTTGCCTCCCTTCTTCGGAGGGCCCTTGCCCCCCTTCTGCGGAGGGCTCGCTGCCGCCCCCTCCCCTGGCTGCTCCTGCTCCGCTTCGTCGGGGCCCCCGGCCGCACGCGCCGCACCCGTCGGCGTCGCAGCTGCTGAGGCTTGGGCGCTCTCAGAGGCGGGCGCACCTAGGGTGATCAGGTAGTAAAGCAACATCAAGCAATGACACTGATACAGCTTCGGAACCTCAAACCTATTGCACTAGCCGGTAAAAACCGACCAGCCATCAGGTACCAGGGTACCCCCAGCAGTTGGCAACGTCTCTGCATCCAGCGTCGTCTGCGGTGACACCTTGCACAGCCACGTATGTGCGCAGGGTTTAGAACCGAACTTAACTTGTCTGATGAGGGATTTTGCAGTGCGATGAAGAGTGGGAACTGGGTCGAGGCTCATCAGAGGTAATCCGTAGCCCTTACCAACAAAACTATACAGCACAAGCGCCCAGGGACCTTGGGATCCGCAACCTTGCAGCTAAGCCTTGAGCCCTTCTTTGTACTCATAGTGGTGGTGATGATAATCATAATCATCAGCTGCAGCATCATCATCATCATCGACATCATCATCATCATTATCATCATCACCATCATCATCATCATCATCGTCATCGTCATCGTCAACGTCATCGTCATGATTCTCGCTGATGGTCTTCTTTTCACGGTAGTATGGTCTTCTCACTATAGTTATCGTTCCCACGATTGATTGTCATAATCACTGTGTCATCGCATTCCACTTCCCTTCTGTGTACGATGTTGTTTGCTTCTGTGGCCATTAATCATTACGTGCATTGATGTCAAGAGCATGCACTGTAGCGAGGTGCCGCTGTTGGACATGCTACAAGCTCCTTGAATCCTACGCCCTGACCTAAGCGGGTGAAAGGTGCCTTTCAAAGTCCTGGGTTTAGGGTTCAGGGGGAAGTTTAACTAATTAGGGTTTAGGGCCTCTCATACTCTACACCCTAGACTCTACAACCATTTCGAGACAGCCAAATGATTGTTGGGCATGTACAACCTTCTTGTGATCGAACTTTCAGGAATGCAGCTGAGAGTGCTTTACAGACATGAACCCTAAGCTTTGAACCAGGCCAAAACAATGTGTGTGCACACATACATATTACCAGTATGAACTTAGCTTCAAACGAGCTGAAAACAAATGGAGCCCTGAACGCTGCACCCGCAGCCCAGATGTAGCCGGAAAATATCAAGGATTTGAAGTAGTATTTAGGGTTTTGTTAGTCTAGGTCCGTCGCAAGTGCTTGAGGCAAGAAATCTTGCTTAAGCCCAAATAAGGGACATTCTAGAATGTGCAGCCGAAGGCCTACCCCGTAACCCTAACCCCTAAGCCGCAGCAACATATCACCACCGAATCACGCCCCTCAACCCTGAACCCTCATCTCTAAGACCTGAACACTAAACCCCAAACCCTGAAACCCTAAAACCCTAACCCCTGAATCCAAACCCTAAAACCCTAAAACCCTAAACCCTAAACCCTAAAACCCTAAACCCTAAAACCCTAAACCCTAAAACCCTAAACCCTGAACCCTAAAACCCTAAACCCTAAACCCTAAACCCTAAACCCCAAACCCTAAAACCCTAAACCCTGAACCCTAAAACCCTAAACCCTAAAACCCTAAACCCTAAGAAGCCAAGACTGGCCCAAGGCATGCACCGGACCAGGAGTCTCGGGGCCTGCGCCCGAAGTCGCAGGGTGTAGGGTTTAGGGTTTAGAATAGGGTTTAGGGTTTAGGGTTTAGGGTTTAGGGTTTAGGGTTTAGGGTTTAGGGTTTCGGGATTAGGGCTTAAGGTTTAGGGTTCAGGGTTCAGGGTTTAGGGTTTAGGGTTTAGGGTTTAGGGTTTAGGGTTTAGGGTTTAGGGTTTAGGGTTTGGGGCGTTTCTGTGCACCCGAAGTGCGCCTCAGCCCTGAAACCCAAACCCTTCAACCCCTCTAAGCGCTCACAAAACAGCAGAGCACAGCCCCTTTAAACCCAAAACCCAACGCGCCCCACCCTAAACCCTAAACCCTAAACCCTAAACCCTAAACCCTAAACCCTAAACCCTAAACCCTAAACCCTAAACCCTAAACCCTAAACCCTAGAACCCTAGAACCCTAGTCCCTAAACCCGCTCTCAGGCCGCCTGCAGCCGTGTCACCCTCGGCTTGCGTCGTGTCGGCACCTGTCCGAAGCTCCCGCTATTAGGGGATAGGATTCGGGGGACCCTTGGGGAAAAAGACCCTCTGAATAAGGTCCCTGTTTAAGAGAGCCAGAAGAGGGTTCAGAAGGGGTTCCCTTTTAAGGGTCCCCCTGATCCCACCTAGGAGCTATAGGGTCATAAGGTTACAGGGTTTAGGGCATGGGCTTAGGGTTTAGGGCTTAGGGCTTTGGGCTTAGGGTTTAGGGTTTAGGGTTTAGCGTTTAGGGTTTAGGGTTCAGGGTTTAGGGTTTAGGGTTTAGAGTTTAGACTTTAGGGTTTAGGGTGTAGGGTTTAGGGCTTAGGGTTTAGGGCTCAGTGTCGTGGACAGATCTCCTTTTCCATCCTGCCTCGCGATGTGCTGGAAGATCTTGCGACGTCGGACTCGCCAACAGACAGGGCCTAGCCAACTCAATGGACAAGCAATTTGGTGTTTCGGCTTCCCAGAACCCTACAACCCTTTACCCCAAACCTATAACCCTCAACCCAAACCTAGAACCCTTTAACCTTACACCCTAAAATACCCCAACCACACATGCCCCAAACCCCAAAGCCCAAACTCCAAACCCCAACCTGCCATAATCCCGACATAACCCTCAACTCTCAACTCTAAACCTTACCCTCAAGAGCTGAGCTGCTGTCCTTATGATAGCGCCACTTGCCCAGTACACTGCAACATCTCCCTGAACCCTCCAAACCCAAAAGCCTCCTGCCCTTGAATCCCTAAAAGCCTGCAACCCGAAGCTCCAAAAGCCAGAGCCCTATAGCCCCAAAACCCGAAAAGCCCTAAAAACCCTAACGCCCTGAAACCCTAGGGTACCAAGACTAAGAACCCTGAGAACCCTAAGAACCCGAAAAACCTGAAAAAACTCTGAAAACCCGAAAAGCTCCAAAAGCCCTAAAAGCCCTAAACCTCTGAACAAAGCCATGCGCGGCCCGCCTTCGCGCCCATGCTGGGCTGCTCTTGTGGAGCAGAGGCTTCGGACCTGTCACGTAGGTTTAGGGTTTAGGGTTTAGGGTTTAGGGTTTAGGGATTAGGGTCTAGGGTTTAGGGTTTAGGGGTTAGGGTTTAGGGATTAGGGTCTGGGTTTGGGGTTGAGGGTTGAGGGTTGAGGGCCGAGGTTTTTGATGGCCCGGGCTCCCACTAAAGGAGTTTTAGGGTTTTAGGGTGTTAGGGTTGAGGGTTTCCAGGTTTTGCGTGGGAATTTACAGGGTTTTACGGGTTTTTTGCGAGTTTTAGGGTTTAAGTGTTCTAGGGTTGAGGGTTTTCAAGGTTCTGCAGAGTTTGTGTTGGGTTTTAAAGGGCTTTCACGGTTGCAAGGGTTGTTTAGGGTTGCAGGTTTCAGGGTGTAGGGTTGTAGGGTTTTGGGGTTTAGAGCTCAGGGTTTTAAGGTTTCGGGTATAGGGTTTAGCTTTGCGTGAGGGTGCTGGGTTTAGGTTGGAAGCGGGGGGATGGCATGGGGGAGGGGGGGAGGACTGCTCACGCGACATGGAACCACAGTGTTCACCGCTGATGATCGGGCACCGCAGTTGGCAATTCCGGAGCCTGTGCAAGGGTTTAGGGTTTAGGGTTTAGGGTTTAGGGTTTAGGGTTTAGGGTTTAGGGTTTAGGGTTTAGGGTTTAGGGTTTAGGGTTTAGGGTTTAGGGTTTAGGGTTTAGGGTTTAGGGTTTAGGGCGCAAAGATGATTGACTGTCAACCAGCTCTTGCTGATCCACGGGAAGAGTGTAACCAGCTTGTGCAGCCAGCACGTTCGCACCATGGATTGCAGACGGCGCTATACCTGGCCAGCGGCCTTTAAGCCCTTCACGGGCTTGGAGCTCGGTTTTTCCAGTTCAAGCCGGCATATAGATACCCTTTAATGGGGATTAGACAGGGTACCGAATTCCCTCATTCCCTACGAAGAGCCAGTGAAACAAGGTCGATATCTACTGAAACTGTCCAACCCTGACTCCTCCCACGAACAGCTCTGGACTCTGCAACCGAACTCTCTGAAACTCAGCTCCTTAACTAAGAACCCGCATGAGGTTCAGTTCTCTCATTTGGGTATCATTGGGTATCATACAGCCTCCTAACCGTTAACCCTGAACCCTAAACCCGAAACCCTAAGCTGTAAACCCTAAAACCCTGAAACCCGAAAACCTTAAACCCTAAACCCTAAACCCTGCACCCTAAACCCTGAACCCTAAACCCAGGGCCTCTCCGCCGCTCCTCCAGCTGCAGGCTGATCCTGGCTGCACAGCGAGCGGGTCGAAGGGTGGTGAAAAAAGGGCTTAAGGGTCGGTTTCGGGTTTAGAGTCTGGGTTTAGGGTTTGGGGTTTGGGGTCTACGGTTTAGGGTTAGGGTTTGGGGTTTGGGGTTTCGGGTTTGGGGTTTGGGGGGTTTAGGGTTTACCTACTAGCTCTTTGCAGGAATTGTTGGAATCAGGTGCCATATGTCCCACCACGTATACCCTTTGAGGGGTTATATAGGGTACCTAATTCCCTCCTTCCCTACTATCAACCAGTATATAAGTTTAAGATTTGGGATTTGGGGTTCAGGGCTGAGCTCCCAATACCCTGAAAGTCCAAGCAGCCCTCAGCCCTATGTAGCCTCAAAGCCACGAAACCCCCGAAAGCCTTAAAACACCCAAAGGCCCCAAAAAGCCTACCCAGGCCATGAAGCCCTAATAAATTTCAAGCCTTGTAAAGCCCTAACACTCGCAAAAAGAAGCAAACCCTACGATGCCCCAAAGTCAAAGGTCCTCGGCCCTGAAAGCTCGGGTTTAGGGTTTAGGGTTTAGGGCTTAGGGCTTAGGGTTTAGGGTTCAGGGTTCAGGGTTCAGGGTTCAAGGTTTCGAGTTTCGGGCTTGGGTTTCTGCAAACCCTGACCCCTGAAGCCCGAAGATCCCAAAACAATCCCTAGGTCCGAATATCTCCCTAAACCCTAAACCCTAAACCCTAAACCCTAAACCCTAAACCCTAAACCCTAAA